ATAAGTAGGATCTAGTCAGCCCAAAGCTGAAATATACTGTGTAATTGCCTAAAGTTTTTGAGGGGTCGACGTGTGTAGATTTAACACCAACATTTATTACCCACGTGGTCAACGTATGGCAGGGCTCCAGATAATTTTTCAACATCAGGAGTACGTACTCCTTATTTGTTCAATATTGAGTACTGGAAAACCCTAAGTGTACATTTAGAGTACTGAATGGAAGCTAATGGACTATCAGTAATCTTGTGTTTCGTTTCATATATGCACCACAACATTGCTACTCTTGTGTAAACAGGTCAAGTTTACTGTAGGAGGCTGTACGAGGCGATGACAACTGACATGCGTCGTGACGTCGGTTACCAAGGGGACAGACGAGAATGGCGTTGTGACATCAATACAGTGTGACGTCTGCAAAAGTGACTACAGAACAAAATTCTTCCACAACCTCTTTATGAAACCGTTTTCGGTTTGAAACCATAACTATAACAAAAATACGCTGTTTTGTCAATTTAATGCATGTAAGACGTGGGTAATAAATAAAATACCACACTCTGCCTCATTACATACGAATTATACAAAATTCGTGACTTTCATATGGTTTCTGTTATAGGGCGCTGGCCACACGTTTATTTCTGGCTCTCGTTTAGAAGGGAAATACATCTATCCGAAGACAATGAATTAATTTGTCTGGGGAAATATAAAGAATACACTGTAAACACTGTACAATCTTTATTATATCGTCTCTGCTTCAGTATAGCACTTGAAAACATGCGGCAATGGTGGACAAACAACAATCTGACAATCCAGCAGATGGTCATTCAACATTTAGTTTAGGGACCGTTCATAATTTATGGCTGGGGGGTGATGATGATTTTTATGGAGAAGCATGTACAATGTGAATGATGCGCCTTCCCCCCCCCAAAAAAAAATAAATAAAAATAAATAAATAATAATAATAATATATATATATATATATATATATATGTACAAACTAGGTGACCCCCTGCATGTCATGTACAAAATATATGACCCCCTCCCCTTCCCATACTTTCTAAGCATAATTTTAATTCAAAATTGCTCTCTCTTTCCTCCCTCCTCTTCTTTCCCTCTCTCTCTCTCCCTCTCTCCCCATACATGTGTACAAAATTGATTACCCCCTAGTTTCCCAGAACAAAACGGGTGACTCCCCCTTAAAAATCATCATCACCCAGCCATAAGTTAAGACCGGTCCCTTAGACAGTGTAAATTAACTAGAATGTATCTGTCATTTCTTTTAAGAAATAGTTTTTAATAACATACATAGACTATGACAGTATCTATCACACAGTCAAGTGAATCAGAAACTATTTGAATTCTTTCGATTCCCCATTTTCGTGGTATAAAATCGACGCCACTTTCTCAACGACTGAAGTGAGTATAATTGTCATAGTTTAGAAAAAGAAAAGAAAATTAGTTGTAATGTTAAAAAATAATAACATGGAAAAAATTAATGACAATAAGGGCCATTGGCTTGTGGCATACATTTATGATTGAAAACCAAACGTAATAGCGGCAATAACCGCCTTACTGAACTCTGCTTGAACACATACTGCTCGCTCTTGATAGCCTAATTATCCTTTTATGTAACATAATCTTAATTAGGTGCAAACTCTCTTAGACATCCTTAACAATGATGTAGAGCTAAATTCGACATTCTGGTGATTTTGATGATTACATTGCTCGCGCTATATCGGGGGAGTACCGTGCTTGATCGGAGTGCACAAAGAGTTTCACTGGTAGGGCAGATGCCCAGTCGCTGTCGTGAGAAGTTTTATTGACAATGGAAATCTGGAAGTGAAGTTATATAAAAAGCAAACAAACATCAATATTATTTGCTGGAGATCATTAATACCACTTCAGATGCAAATCAAATAACCGAAAATCAGTGAGATCAGTCATCTGCTGGTGACAAGCACCCTATAAATAGGAAGCCACGTGATCACAACACTCCCTCGCAGCGCGGAGCAAAAAGTATACATACAAAATTCCCAAATGTTGAGATCGGCAACAGTTTCGTCCATCGCCCATACGATATCATCGACCGCCTCCGTGGTGTAGTGGTTAGAGCATCCGCCCGGAGAGCGGAAGGTCGCGGGTTCGATCCCCGACCGCGTCATACCAAAAGATGTTAAAATATGGTACTTGTTGGTCCCTCCCTGGCGCTCGGCATTAATGGGTACAACAAGGACTGGTCGGCTCGGAGTCAGTATAATATGTCTGAGTGCGGCATGGTATCTCAGCGGGCTAGCACTATGAAACCAGCTTAAGTCTGGGCTAGTATAAGTAGCCGCACATACACATACACACTCATGCACGTCACCTCACCTCATACAATATCATCAACGCTATTTTTGTAGGAAACACTTGATATTTTTTGTGTGAAATAGATGAATATATCCTTTATCACTCAAGGTTAGTAAAATACAAACTTGAATGATATTAAAGATAAAATTACGTTTTTATCTTACTTCGTCGAAAACCCCTGTCACCGCGATTCCCTGAATCATGTTTCTGAAACCCTAGCTACTTTTGAGTATCACAGTATTTTAATCGAGTGAATATCAAAATGTACATAAAACATAAAAATAGTGACTGTGAAATTAACTCACCGCCACCAAGGTCACATCGATTATCCAGTTCCCTTTATTACACAATGAGTTGAATGACAAGTTGGTAGGGTCCTGAATAAACTTCAACTAAGATGGCGGGTGCAAAATTATGATGTGACGGGTAACGTCAATCCGACGTAATTCCCAGTGGAAACAAGGCATTGTGTCACAACATTTTAAAAATGTTATCAAAACGTGTAGGTTTGTTTTGATGATACACATGACATACATATCATATTGGATAAACTTTGTGACCACAGTGCCAGATAGTCACATTAAACAGAAAGTCACAGAACAAAGCAGTAAGGGAAACCCCGAAGAGATCTTGTCTTCTTCCTTGGTGCTGTCTTAGCTTTCAAAGCTCTACTCGCCTCTCTCTCTGGTTTTCTCGTCATTGCATGTGATCTTACTTTCAGGAACCTTTGGACGATCTCTTCCAAGAGTTGACAACTGTTGTGTGTGTCTCCGACAAGGGAGTTCCAATACTTATTCACCAAAACATTTTTTAGGATGGCTTCTCTTAAGGACTTGTTTCCCATTTTGCCAGTTTTAACGACTGGTAGAACCTTCCTAGCTTCTGTCTCAAATGGTCTAACAATGAGAAAGAAAGAGCCACAGGGTTGTTGGAGACCACCTCTGTCAATTTTATTTGACCACTTCTTCACATCAGTGAGAAAGTTTCCTTCTTGGAATCTGAACTCTGTACTAACTTACTTATTGCCGACATCTTCTCCTTGTCCTGTTTTGCACTTTTCTTGACAGATTAGATAAAGAATCCTGCAATCAAATGTTGTACACTCTGATCTTGTTTTGCTCAGTTTAGAATTCTGCTTTTGTTGGTCTTCCTCACATCTATGCAAAAGTAACCTTATCATAGCACTGACAACACCATCAATGAAACTCGTAATGAAAACAGGAACAAAAGTCTCACCACTTCCAAGATCAATGCTGTCACTAACATCGCCTTCAACAGAATCTAGCACATCAAAGTTCATTGTCAGTTTGTGTACTTGTTTGAAGAATGCCTTGTGTTGAGACCTGTTGAATTTGGATTTAGCAAAGTCCCTGAATATTTCTTTAAGATGGGTTTACAATGGCTATGTGAGTACACTTGAGTGACCACTGATTTGTTTTGCAATGAAAATAACATGATGTCCATGGGCTGATTCTTGCATCACGTGGTACAGGCTGTTTTCAGCTTGGTAAGGGTGACGGACGTCGCTTCTCTAAGGACTTGTTCGCGATCATCTGGCAACCAGCTTGTTTGCTGCTTTGTTGTGTCTTCTTTCGGCAAGACATCATGGTCTATTGTATAGTGGTGTTCCAATGATCGAAAATAATCAAACATCGATCGAAAGAAGGATTAAAAATGATTGTTGATTGTACAAAAAAAACATATTTTCGATTAATCGGAATTTTGTTGTTTTAGTATAACACACCTGAATGAAGTAAACTCGCCATTAAAACTGACGAACATTCATGAACAAACATGCGCTCAAAAGTGTAAAGCTATGCGCATTGTATTTATAGACTTAGGATACTCATGAATGTTAATATATATTTAATGATATAAAGTAAAATAATCAAGCAATGAAAAGATGACGGTAAGCATTGTAAAAATCTCACCACTTTTATTGTTTAATAACAATTCCAGTGTCTTTCTTGCATGCATGCATTTCATTGCATGACAGTATTAGTTATTTAAAAAAAACATTAATAAGAAATTGCCTTGGGGAAAACGCTTAAAATTGGTGAATACATTCAAAATGTATATATTTCGATTATAATCTATAATTGTTCACACAAGTCCTCTGATAATCGATAGTCGATTTGGTTTCCGATTCCCAACACTACTACTGTAGGCTGTTGATGATCTGCTGCTGTAAAAACAAAATTGTTTACATCATTAAATCAGCAGCAGCAGCAGCAGCATTAGACTAAGGCTTAGTCTCTGAATATATATATTTTGATAGTAACAAACAAGCCCATTTATATTGAAAAGGAGCCCTAGGGAGACCAGAGATTCAGAACCTGAGGAAATCTAGACTTGCTTCATTTAGGGCTTTAGCACTGCAGAGAGGGCTTGGCAGTAGGGAAATTAATGTGGTTCAGGGACTGTGAGACAGACTACAGCAGCATGGCACTGAATGAATTCAAAATGCAATATGCATTCAGAATCGCCATTCAACAATACACTATACTGTATATAGTAACTCTATATACTTGTACCTACTGTTTTATCAAATGTTTATTATGTTGTCAAGTTTCTATTTGGTATATATTGCATAAAAGATTTAAAGCCCATTAACATTACAAAACATGAACAATATATCAGTCTGTTTCTGCTTACAGATGCCACGGAAAGTCAGAAAGAAGATTGGTCGAAAACCAAAGAGAGGCAAAAGTAAGAAGCTGATAGCTTCAACACATAATGATCACAACTACTGCCTGCATCAAAATCTTGATCCAGGGTAAGTTCTCAGGTTTTGATTTAAGGGGTGTTAAAGGCTTATTGGCACGCCTTTTTGAAAATATTGGGACATTGGTTTATCAACAGTAGGACGTATGCACTCACTTCAGCTTTCTTATATACAATAAGATACTATTTATTACATACGACTGGCATGAAATCAATGATTGAAAGTTTGAGTCGGCAGGAATCACAACCGGATATCACAAACTACGGCATATTGTCACACTAGCTCATGCACAAAATGGCTAAAGCAAAAACGGCCCAAGTGGGAATTACTGCAGGTGTAGTCTGTTCACTGAAGCACTTTACTGCTAACAAATGAGGAAATCGTCCATTTTTAAGTAAAGATGATTTGTGGGAAGTGTCATTGCAAAAGTCATCGGTGCTGGCATTTCAGGGTTTCTAGATTGTGCTACCAAGTTTAAGATTTTTCCTTAGGCCAAACAAAAAATGTTGTGGTTCCGATTACACCTCTTTAAAATTTAGGGTAGGTAGGTCGGAAGTTTGTTTTTTAACAATTACATAGTTTTTAGAAGTAAAGTGTAAACTAATAATGCATTTATCAATGTGTAATTGTTTATTCAATCAAGCTTAAGGCCATCATATCGACTTTCCTATCAGAATGACCAATATTTGTTGGTGCCAGGGAAAAACAATGGTATCTGAAAGCATATTTTATTCTTTCCGCCCTAAAAAATAGGGTCAGGGAATTGGAACCACAACATTTTTATCCCCTTCAACCCGTTAAAATGGACTACATCCGTCGCGTCGTCCGTCCGTCCGTGCACATTTGTCTTTTCGGAGCAGAACTCTAAAACCGTTCACTTTTTTTCTTCACCAAACTTGGCACATAGATAGATCTGGTGGTGTACTGGTGCCTTTTGGTAGTTTTGGAATTCTGAATAAAATATTTTTGGCGTTTCCGTGGCAACAAGTTTTGACTTAGCCTGAAATTGGTGGTAGTACACTTTTCCAGAGCAGAACTCTAAAACCGTTCACTATTTCTTCACCAAACTTGGCACATAGATAGATCTGGTGGTGTACTGGTGCCTTTTGGTAGTTTTGGAATTCTGAATAAAATATTTTTGGCGTTTCCATGGCAACAAGTTCGTCTTAGAATGAAATTGGTGATAGTGCTCCTTTCTGGAGCAGAACTTTAAAACCTTTCAATACTCTCCTTCCACTTTTTATATACATACCTAAATATTTGACATAATCATAACATCCTAGACATAATCATGAAGAGTATTTTGCCATTCGGGGGGATATTGATGACTTTGTCTTCTTGTTGAAACATCTTTCAGAAATGCATTAACATGATGAAGTAAAGTAACAAGTTCTTTACATTTTCAGTGAACACCACATCATCCACACGTTAATGATGGAACCACAGAATGCTGGCATGGACTGTGAGAGAGCATTGCCAGAAACAGGTGATCTAAAGAAAGAACCTGTTACTGACACAGGTGCAAACACTGACTGTGAGAGAGAATTGCTGGACATAGATGACCTGAAACAAGAACCTGTTACTGACACAGGTGCAAACACTGACTGTGAGAGAGAATTGCTGGACATAGATGACCTGAAACAAGAACCTGTTACTGATATAGGTGCAAACACTGACTGTGAGAGAGAATTGCTGGATATTAGTGACCTGAAACAAGAACCTGTTACTGACACAGGTGCAAACACTGACTGTGAGAGAGAAATGCTGGACATAGGTGACCTGAAACAAGAACCTGTTACTGATATAGGTGCAAACACTGACTGTGAGAGAGAATTGCTGGATATTAGTGACCTGAAACAAGAACCTGTTACTGACACAGGTGCAAACACTGACTGTGAGAGAGAATTGCTGGACATAGATGACCTGAAACAAGAACCTGTTACTGATATAGGTGCAAACACTGACTGTGAGAGAGAATTGCTGGACATAGATGACCTGAAACAAGAACCTGTTACAGATATAGGTGCAAGCACTGACTGTGAAAGAGAATTGCTGGATATTAGTGACCTGAAACAAGAACCTGTTACAGATATAGGTGCAAACACTGACTGTAAGAGAATTGCTAGACATAGATGACCTGAAACAAGAACCTGTTACAGATATAGGTGCAAACACTGACTGTGAAAGAGAATTCCTGGATATTAGTGACCTGAAACAAGAATCTGTTACTGACACAGGTGCGAACACTGTCTGTGAGAGAGAAATGCTGGACATAGATGACCTGAAACAAGAACCTGTTACTGACACAGGTGCAAACACTGACTGTGAGAGAGAAATGCTGGACATAGGGACCTGAAACAAGAACCTGTTACTGATATAGGTGCAAACACTGACTGTGAGAGAGCATTACTGGAAATAGATGACCTGAAACAAGAACCTGTTACTGACACAGGTGCAAACAATGACTGTGAGAGAGAAATGCTGGACATAGGGGACCTGAAACAAGAACCTGTTACTGACACAGGTGCAAACACTGACTGTGAGAGAGCATTACTGGAAATAGATGACCTGAAACAAGAACCTGTTACTTACACAGGTGCAAACACTGACTGTGAGAGAGAAATGCTGGACATAGGGGACCTGAAACAAGAACCTGTTACTGACACAGGTGCAAACACTGACTGTGAGAGAGAATGCTGGACATAGGTGACCTGAAGCAAGAACCTGTTACTGACACAGGTGCTGATATTGAACACTGACTGTGCGAGAGCATTACTGGAAATAGATGACCTGAAACAAGAACTTGTTACTGACACAGGTAAAAACACTGACTGTGAGAGAGCATTACTGAAAATAGGGGACCTGAAACAAGAACCGGTTACTGATATAGGTGCAAACACTGACTGTGAGACAGAATTGCTTGAAATAGGTGATCTCAAGAAAGAACCTGGTACTGACATAAGAGAAGGCAATGACTTTGAAGGAGCATTAGTGAAAACAATTGATCTAGAGCTCAAGAAAAAGAATCATTTTGAAGTTATAACAAAGTGTTGTGCATGTACTGAGTGTGGGAAAACATTTGGACAGTCATCGACCCTGGAGTATCATTTGAGGATTCACAGTGGAGTGAAGCCTTACCATTGTACTGAATGTGGGAAAGAATTTAGACAATCTGGTCACCTGAAGACACACATGAGCAGTCACAGTGCAGTCAAGCCTTATGAATGCAATGTGTGTGATAAAAAGTATAAACTTCCAGGTGATCTGCGGACACACATGAAGGTTCACAATGGAATCAAGACTTATCAGTGTGAGGTGTGTGAGAAAACGTTTACACAGTCTTGTGCCCTCAAAGACCATATGAGAATTCACAGTGGAATGAAGCCTTATGAGTGCACTGACTGTGGGAAACAATTCTCTCAGTCAGGTAACCTGACAAGACACATGTTGACACACAGTGGAATCAAGCCATATCAGTGTGATGAGTGTGGGCAAACGTTTGTACAATTGGTTCATTTGCAGGCTCATTTGAACAGTCACAGCGAAATCAAGCATTTGAAGTGTGGTGAATGTGGGAAAGAGTTTAAACAATCATCTTCGCTGAAGATCCACATTAGGAGTCACAGTGGAGTCAAGCCTCATCTATGTAACGAGTGTGGGAAAACATTTACACGCCAAGCTCTGCTGAAAGCTCATTTGAGGATTCACAGCAGAGTGAAGCCTTATAAGTGTACTGAATGTGGGAAAGAATTTAATCAATCAGGTAACCTGAATAGACACATGAGCAGTCACAGTTCAATCAAGCTTCATGCCTGAGAAAAGACATAAACTTCCATGTGATTTGCAGAGGCATGTGAGTGTTCACAGTGGAATCAAACCTTACCAGTGTGGGGAGTGTGATAAGACATTTTCACAAGCAAGTGCCCTGAAAATTCATTTGAGAATTGACAGTGCAATCAAGCCTTATCTGTGCACTGAGTGAGGGAAACAATTTAGACGATCAGATTTCCTGAAGAAACACTTGAGCATTCACAGAGAAGTCAAGCAATGCAAGTGTGGAGAATGTGAGAAAGAATTTACACAATCATCTTATCTGAAGATAGACGTGAATACTCAGTGGAATGGATCCTCATCTGTGAACTGAGTGTGCAAAAACATTTGCACTCTCATCCACCCTGAAATGGCATTTGAGGATTCACAATGTTGTGAAGCAAGTAAAACAGAACCTTTCCAGTGCAGTCAGTTGGACAAAACATTTACAAACTCATGTGCCATCCATAACCATCTGAGGAATCAAAGTGGAGTCAAGCCACATGTGTCAGGACTGTGGACATATTTGTTTTGCCTTAAATGGCATGAAAAAGCACTGCCATTTGGGAAGAAATTTACACATTCATCTGACCTTCATTGACACATAAAAGATCACAGTGAAGCCTTAAACCCCAAGCTAAAAGCTGTGTAAAACCATACTTGCTCACTCACTCACTCATCAGACATGTCAGAAGTCCTTTTTACTGTCAACTTTCCTTGTCTAGTCCTGGAGGTGATAGTATCTCCTTTTCCAAGCCTCAAGAGGATACAAGTGATGGGAAAGAGTCACTTCTGTCCGCTTCACTAGTGTGTGAGAGTAAACATTTAAACATTTTCAGAGTTGTCTTAGCACACAATGTGGTGTGTGTCACACTGTATTTCTTGCATTTCAGTAAGACCAGGTCACACTTACGATCCTGTAATCTCTCTCTTATCTTGCCCGCCAGATGTGAACCTGTTATGGGTGTCAGTTTTGTCCGTTTTGAAGGATTTTGTGAACGTTTCTGAACTTTTAAGTTACCATCTAAGAAGTGCATACACCAGTCAAGGTGCTTCCAGTACATGTTGCTTTCACAAGAGGTTTTCGCCTTGTTTGTGTAAATGGCCAAGATGATGGCAGAGACTCTCTGTCTATGGTCTTTTCTTTCAGTTAAGAGCTCTGTTGAGAGCTAAAAGAAGGCATAAGTAAATCAATCTTTTTGCCTTGGGAGCCTGCATGGATAGTCTCATTGGCAATGAAAATGGCAATGGTATTGGTTTGTTTGTTTGTTTTGTATCACAACCTCATCTCGAGACCGCTTCTATAGTCCATCCTTTATTGCAGTAATCTGTTCTTTAAGTGGGGCGGTGGGTAGCCTAATGATTAAAGCGTTGGCTCGTCATGCCGAAGACCCGGGTTCGAATCCCCACATGGGAACAATGTGTGAAGCCCATTTCTGGTGTCCCCCGCCGTGATGTTGCTGGAATATTGCTAAAAGCGGCGTAACACCAAACTCACTCAGTCTTCTTTAAGTGGCATATGGTATGAACAAATGTTATGGCTTGACTACCTCTTTACTACAATAGATGCTTGTTTCATTGTAGATGCTAACACCATTATCAAGCAGAGTGATACACTACATTATGCTGAAGGATAATATATACATGAAGGATATATCCAATTGAAGAGGTTGATGTACAATGTGATGACATTACTGATAGTTGTTGTGAATGTAGATAACGGCTATGAAGAAAGATGGACAAAGAGTACAATGTTCACAAATGGTGTTTTAAAGTAACAGGACTTTGGGTCCTGTAAGTTTCGAGATGTCTATCTGACCCATTGAAAATTCGCAGAACCCATAGAATAAAATTAAACACACATTTCAGATTTAACATTTCTTATAACTGGCATTGAAAATTATTAACAAACATACGAATTATGAACAGCAAACAAGTGTCACTTCTCACATATAACAACTTCAGTCAAAGTCATTGTGAAATATACAGTCAGACACTGGGGCCGTGGGTTGTACAGTTCTATCGGACCGTTGGCAAATCTGCGGTTTGTCAGAGGGTCAGGCACTATTCGTGAACATTGAGAGTAGGAAAGGGCTTTTCTTGATTTGCCTGGATTAGATGATGGTAAGCTGAAGGGATGTAATAACCTTGATCTCTGTTGATTGTTGGGTTGAGTTGTTCGATGCTGGTACCTCAATCAGTTTTCTGATCTTGTAGTCTGGTTGGTTGGCTTGAAGGATGTTGATGTTGTTCCAAAGGATGATATGATTGGGGGTAGTCTTTTTTCATCACAGATGCCTGATGTTCTTTGCTTGATTATGGTGTTAGCATCTACACCGAAACATAGCATCTGCTACAATAAAGAAGTTGTCAGTCCATAAAATTTGTTCCTTTTCAGCATAAATCTTGTCCAGAAATTTATATCATTTAACTTTAGCTTCTCAGCATTTTTTCTCAAGATTGTCACATTTTGCTCGTATCACATCTGTATCAGTTACCTGGATGTCCTGCATTTGGCATCATTGACACCCTATGGTTCCTGACATTTGTTGATTTGGTACATCCGCCGGAATAATAACTTTGGTAGACCTAAGTTAGTTTCTTTGCTTTACACTGCAATCAGCAATATATTCCAGCTGTTTAGCAGCAGTCTATAATCATTGAGTCTAGGACCTGACAATCCTGATCAACAACATGAGCATCGATCTCTGCAATTTAGATAGGATGTGGTGTTTCAACCAAGTCATCGAGCCTGACCACCCAGTTCTGTTAGTTGCCTCTTATGTCAAGCAACAGTTTGCTGAAGAACAATTCTAACCCGGATCTTCTTCGGTACATGGCAATGAAGTAACAGTGGGAGAATTGTAAGAATGGTTAATAATGACTATTGTTTCATTTTCAAATGTTTATCTATTTGTCCTAAAAGTATTTTGGAACTATGACACATGAGTTTTCACAGTGGAATCAAGCCTTATCAGTGTTCCGATTCTGGCAGAGACTTTGCACAATAAGTACGTTTGAAGAACCACATTAGTCAAAGCCGAATCACACCTTATCAGTGTAACCATGTGCCTTGCAGGCCCATCTGAGGAATTGCAGTGGAGTCAATCACATATGTAAGGAATGAGGGTAAAATGTTTTGAACTTACATGACATGAAAAAGCACATGTGCCACAGTAGAAAGATTCCATTTCAGATTAGTGAATTTGAGAAGGCATTTACTCGTGATTGACACTTAATGTCTTGTTTGCCTTCTGTCATGTACAACATTAAAAGTAATATTGTCTTCTATCCATTTTGGGTAGTCAGTCTAGTTTCTATGAACATTGTATTACTATTACTAAAATTGTGACACACAACAAATAGAATCAGTGTTTTAACTTTTACTGCTGCGAATGAAATGTTACAAAAAGAGAGAAAGACAAATGTATCAAGGTAAGGCAATGATAAACAATCGATAAAAACAAATGCAAATGGACCACAACACAAGAAAGTGTTCACAAATAAGTTCAGAGGGTAAGTAGTGAGTGTGTCCACCTTATGCATTGATACGACCTTACACCTTTGCGTCGTTGAGGGTACTAAACGTCAAAGTCCAGGGAAAGATCATTTCATATCCGAGGATGATTTGCGGAGTTCCTGCAGTGTTTCAGGATTCGGATGACGTGGTAAAGGTCACTCCATTTCATCCCAAACGTGTTCAGGGGTAGCCCAGTGGTTAAAGCGTTCACTCGTCACGGCAAAGGCCCGGGTTCGATTCCCTACATGGGTACAATGTGTGAAGCCCATTTCTGGGCCAAGATTTACAAAGCTCTCTTAGCGCTAAGATAGTCGTAAGTTAATGTTAATGGATGGCACTTCCGACTATCTTAGCGCTATGAGAGCTTCGAAAATCTAGGCCCTGGTGTCCTCTCTCCCTGACTCAAACATGTTCAAAGGGTAGCAAATCAAGTGATGTTGCAGTCCAGAGGAACACATTAACATTGATCTGCTGACCACACTGTAGCACAACTGGAGTGATCTGGCATTATCACGTTAGTCCAGGCCGTTCTGTTACAAAACCTTTTGTAAGACTTGGGTAATTGCTGTGGTTGCGTAACAATTACGTCTCACGGGAAAAGGGATGGGCAAGTGTGTCTATTGCGCCGAAGTGCTCCAGTCAAAGATGACACAACACAGAAAGACAGTAATAATATGTATTAAAATAAAAGTCTTGGTAACAGAGTTGCAAGTTCCGACTGCACAGTCCAGGTGAAACCTAAAAACAAGTTGGCTTGTTGTCACCTCGACAGTGCAGGCGGAAAGAGCCATTGTACAGATACAATAATGAAAATCAACAATAATCCGACTGATATGTAGGATGTGACGACAATTCTTATTAGGGGAAACAATATTATTAAAGAAAACAATATTGGTACAAAAGTATATGTGCATATATGAGCACACAACCCCAAAGAGTATTTACATAAATAACTTTAATTATATAACCCAGAGAATCGTCACACCCCTCCTTCAGAGGATTTACATAGGGCCCCACCTGAGGTGAGGTGAAAGTCACATTAACTTTAAGGGCCAATGGGAAATATAAAAATACATATATACATATATACATATATATATACACAAAGTGGGGCAATATTTATACCCAACACATTTGGAATATATGAAAACCGGTGTGATTGATATAAACAATAGCCACGACAGGACACCTGGACTGTATGACACATGTGGCTAAAGGGAAATGGGGTATGACTGCCTGTTGGATGGTCATACTAGTCAACATGAGGCTAGCTCCAACAATGTCGATACACCCAGTAGGTATACCACTTGGGGCTACCCAAAACGAACACCTAATCATAGTAAGTAAATTGATAATATGTAATAAACGGATATTACATGATTTATATTACTACAATTTGTAGGTATATTATTGGCCATATAATATTATACATTATATTATTATTGAATAAACTGACTTCACTTTCACATCAAGTGGGGAAACATACTAAAACATGATTGATGTAACAACATGTAGAAATATTACGTTTGATTGCGTAACGCCAGACGCGAAGAGAACGAGAAAATAATCTTGTTCAGAAAATAAACAATATTCAAATGCTGAATATGCTATTACCCATCAGTAGCACTTTACAGATGTACTTGATAAAGTGACATGAGATCATAGTAGGCTTTTGCTGTGTTAAGATAAACATGAAGCAGACGACGGACCCTAGTTTTGTTTACATCCGGTGCAGCCATTTGGTCATGAAGCCGAGGAGAGCCGAAGACAGCCAAGGCTGTGTGCTGCTCAGTGGAGAGGTCAGCACTGGTCAGTGAGCATGATCGCCACTAATTGGTTCCAGATGATACCGTGATACTCTAACTGAGCACATGGTTTGGAAACCGGGACAGTGATACAGCCACTTTTTAATTTAGAATAAAATGGCAAAAGAGTTCTGTTGTTAACAGCAACAAGTTGTAAATAAATGGAATTTTGAATTTAGCAATGAGCTAGAGACAATTTTGACTGGCAGGTCAAATAAGCAAATTAATGCTAAACACACTAAGGACTTTACTAAAATGAATTTCTAGATGAAAATATATTACAATGAGTACATGTCATTTATTCTTGCCATCGAGTGCACGTTTGGACAGTCACAGATGGGTGACCTTTCGCCAGTTTGGCACAACAAGAATAATTGATGACAGTGACCAACACTTGTTTTAGTTGTGATTTATCAAATTAAATAATGCATTAATTTAAAAGCCGCAGATAATTACTTATCCTGCTAAAAACATCACTATGCATTGGAATTTAATACAGAAGACCTAGTTGCAATATGGAAGCAAACTGAGGTTCTTACCTAAAAACAAGTTGGCTTGTTGTCACCTCGACAGTGCAGGCAGAAAGAGGAAGATTCCAGGCTTGGGGTCCCACGCTCCCTCTTGCCCCTGTCATGTGACAACATAGCCCCTGAGGATTGGCTAAAAACTGTTGCTATAGAACCCATGGCACCAGTGTCTTGAGCCCCAGAACCCTATCAGATAACTGGTAAAGGGCAGGATATTGGGTTACTTGTGCAAGAGACTAGGACAAAATATCCAGCTTTTACACTTTAATGTGGAATCACAATCATTTGTGTCCTTGCGCAACTGTTATCCCACCTCATAACGCCCCCAGATCCAAAATGATCCCCTTCTTGAATACCTGGCAAAATGTAAAGTGACACTACCTATATTTATTATAGTCTGTTTGCAGTGAAAACGTACCGATGAATTTCACTTCAACTAAAAATGTAAATCGAATACAGTGAAATTAAGATTGCAGATCCTCATAATTTTACCTTGCCAATAGAACATTTAAATCTCAGAATATTTTTTCAACTAAGATAAAAGTTGTTAACAAACGATCTTAGATTCAAATCGCTATTATTGGTTTGTATTACAAGGGGGTAAGCGCAGTAACTGGAACAGTGAAACAATTGCACGTGCGGTACGTGATGAGCGTTAACTTAAACCAACACTACGTGTTCTCGGTGTTTCATTTAATGTGCATACACTACTGCAAACAGACCATAGGCATTCAGCAGTGTCCGTCCTTTCGTACGGACGTACGTCCCGATTCTTGTGAACGCGATATACAGTACAACCAGGAATTATTGAGAATTTAAAGATTGTAATTTTGTATTTTTTTTCACTCATTACTCACATATTAAACGTGAATATTAGCTGAACATTACTCCAGATTCAAAGACAGGTGAACAGTTGTTATTTTGTCAAGTCACCATGGGCAGCAATGCAGGCTTCAATGCGGCGGGGCATACTACTGATCAAAGAAGTTAGAAAGTCGTAGTCCATGCTGTCCCAATATCGGACCACCTCTTCTTTCATTTCAGCAATATTTGTCAGATTTTTCTTATTGACACTTTCCTTCATAAGTCCCCAAACATTTTCTATTGGATTTAGGTCAGGGCTATAGCTTGGCCAATCTAATAATGTCAGATTTTGGGTCCGAAACCAGGCCTGTGAATGCTTTGAACGATGTTTTGGGTCGTTGTCCTGCTGGAAAATCCAAAAATTTCCATAGAACACGTGAGCAGATGGAAGTAAATGTCCCTCGAGAATATCTGTGTACCGCTCACTGTTCATATTCCCTTCAAATACACAGAGGGCGTTGCCCCTAACACAGATATGCCACCCCACACGTTAAATTTCGGACTGTACTTTGGGCGCTGATACAAAGGTTTTTCAGTTTGTTTGGTCCCGAATTTCAGTGTATTAGGAAACAGCCACACAGAACTTTCATCTGAGAAAATCACATTGTCCCAGTTAAAATTTCTATGCTGTAAGCACCAGTTCAACCTTCGCTCCTTTCGTTCAGGTTTCATGATCGGTGATGGAATTCCTCGACTCAAACCGAAACATGAGTCTCATTAACCTATTCAGATAATGACCTACTTTTCAGCCGATCCAAAATTTCTCGTGTGAAAAGAGACACCGCAAACAACTATGGTTACACTGAATTCCAATTCCTTGTTTCCAAAGAAAATGGTATTGATAAGTTAATTTTATTTTAAAACTTTAATCACGTCGTATGGCTATATCTTATGGCGAGGTGTAGGCAGCATGACCTTAACTAAGACGTCACAGACTGCCCTGTTTGATGAGGTCGTAAAAGATTCACAATTCATCTGGCTCACTGGTTACACCTAAAATGTTTTTTGCGCTTATTCATTGTAGTTTTGTAACGCACAATGTGATCGATATAATATCAAGTCCGTACCAGACCGCCAAATTTTTTGCTAGCGACAGAGGCTCGTTTTCAGATTTCCGTACGTCAGAGCAAGCTGTACGACAGAGCACGCCGCAAGACGTGTTTGTAAGGATAAGAAGGAGCGTAGTGTTGCAATATACAAGTGCTTAGATGTATCAAATAATACTGAATAATATTTATGTATCCAGTTGAATGAATTGGTCTCAAAATTCTGGACTGGTTATTGTATCTGTTGCGCAATAATACGAAACCCAGTCAGCCAGGAAACGAGACTGTTGTTCGTAATCAATGTTTTGACTTGTTCTGCCAACCCATTGCATGCAGCCCAGTTTTAATTGTCTCCTTACAGACAGCCACAGTACACACAATATACATGGAACTGAACGACCACGTTAATTAAAGGTGATCATCACATGCAATACGTGTTCCTGTCACCGAAGAAATATCAAGTTTCAGTAAATTGTTCTTGCAGCTCGATAACTTTGAAAATCAATTTATTTCGTTGTTCATAAGCGAATATGTGGTCTCGTCAACTAACAACTGCTAAAAGATGTCAAGTTATTAGTTTGAGGAATGAACCGATGACATGTGTCAACCAGGTCAGCGAGCCTGATCACCCGATCCCGTTAGTCGCCTCTTATGATAAGCATGGGATACTGAAGATCAATTCTAACCCGGATCTTCACGGGTATGAACAGAGAACAGCCTCGATAATCTCCAGGGTATACGTTACGATCACTCTCCACTAAACCCTGGATGCATCCACGGCTTGGCCCGAGAAATATATTACCTCCCTATCGGCGGTCTGTAAATAATCGAATCCAGTCATGATCACTATGAGTATCGATCTACGCAACTGGGTACGATGACATGTGTGAACCAAGTCTGACAACCCGATCCCGTTACTCGCCTCTTCTGACGACCACGGGTTGCTGAAGACCAGGGCCCTGTTTCACAAACGATACGGCTATCGTAAGTCAATGCTACAGTATAGGAGGTACGAATACTACGACTAAAGTTACGAGATCTTAGGCTGACGAGCGCTTTGTGAAATGGGGCCCCGTTCTAACCGGGATTTTCGCGCATCCGTCAACATGCTAATGGAATAATGTTGTCATGCTTTGTTGGCTATACCGAGCGGTAGGTTAGCCAAGTGATTAAAGCGTCCGCTTGTCATGCCGAAGACCCGGGTTCGATTCCCCACATGGGCACAATGTGTGAAGCCCATTTCTGTTACCCCCCGCCGGAATATTGCTGGAGTATTGCTAAAAGCGGCGTAAAACCATACTCATTTGTTGACTACACCAGGAGTTTGTCATATGTAACTGCTCAGGTAATATGTCGAATATGTCGATTAGTTTTGGGACCAGATGAAAATGAAAACACCCAAGTTAACCAGATAGAATAATTATTGTCATACATTACATACTTTCTACGACTAATGTGAACACGAGTGAGTGAGTGAGTTTAGTTTTACGCCACTTTTAGCAATATCCCAGCAATATCATGGCGGGGGACACCAGAAATGGGCTTCACGCATTGTGCCCATGTGGGGAATCGAACCCGGGTCTTCGGTGTGACGAGCGTACGCTTTAACCACTAGGCTACCTCACCGCACCATGTGAACATGAACACCTTTGTCATAACTTCTCTGTGAGTGGACACTTTTGTAAACAGCGTTCGAAACTGACGTCGGTCCTCGGGCCCGAAGCTGACTTAACCGTGAAGATCCGGGTTAGAATATTGATCTTCAGTAACCCATGCTTGTCGTAAGAGGCGACTAACGGGATCGGGTGGTCAGGCTCGCTGACTTGGTTGACACATGTCCTCGGTTCCCAATTGCGCAGATCGATGCTCATACTGTTGATCACTGGATTGTCTGGTCCAGACTCGATCATTTACAGACCGCCGCCATATAGCTGCAAGATTGCTGAGTGCGGCGTAAAACTAAACTCACTCTCTCACTCCCGAAGCCGACTGAAAACCACTTGGACCCACAGCTTTTGTTTTCTGCAGGTCCTTATGGCAGAGAAAGGGACAGTCAGGTATTCGAGAACGGATGGAACGGCACAGCACAGGTTAATGAATAAATTACTTTGTGAACGTGCTTCTCGAACACCTGGCTGTCCCTTTCTCTGCACTCCTCCCTTGAAAAACCAATATTTTAATGATAGATTGTTAAACAGCTTTTGTTTTAGGACAAAATTCTGCAAAACCTCACAGATTGGGTCTGATGTGATTATGATCAGCGTTTCATTGAATATGTTATGTTTATTAGTTTTCGAGTTAGATTGCACTATCGGTCCGCTTTTTTTCTGTAAGAGTATTATTTTTCAGAAAATATCATTCAGTAATTTCTATTTCAAATTTCTAAATTGAACTCTTTAACTCAGTTTGTTGGTTGTCACATTTTATATTTGCTGGGTATTGTTTATATTGTAGCTAAAATATAGGGCCCACACATTCTGACCAGGATCCACAACATTTTATGGTTCTGGGTCCTTAGGGCCTGCAGCTTTTCAGGGTTAAGGGCAAACACTGCTTGTAAACAATGTCAGTGGTATCTATCAAACCGTTTAGAACTTCATTTCAATTTTTATGTACATGTACACTGTTTTGTTTGAAAGTATACACACATAGGACAATGGACAGTATTCTTGGCAGGAAGACCGTGAACTATCAAGAACACGTGACATGTACATAAGGCGTACACTTGGAACAAATTTACACAAAATGATTACACTACTGCAGTAAGTAACAAATGTTATATTTGGGATTACACTTTCTTAGTAGAGTACATATGCTAGTACTTTTTGGGGGGTTGAGTTCATCCGGGATTCGAACCCACACCCTCAGAGTCAGGCACCTAATCGCCAGCACACAAAGTCAGCCGCCTTATCCGCTCAAGACTTTGTGTGCTGGCGATTAGGTGCCCGACTCTGAGGGTGTGGGTTCGAATCCCGGATGAACTCAACCCCAAAAAAGTACTAGCATATGTACTCTACTAAGAAAGTGTAATCCCAAATATAACATTTGTCAATTTGACCACTTTCTAAAGATGGCATTGTGTAATCACAACTACTGCAGTACCACAACATGTATCACAAGCACAATTAAAACTGTCGGAAAAATTCAAGATGAAAGTTTTGGCAGGAGCGCCCTCCAGATAAATATTTTCAGGTTACTAAGTGGCGTGCCGACCTATTTTTTCCCTTAGTTGTTCTGATTCACGATCACATGAGGCCATTCTGGTGATTGTGTCCGTTTCAGCTTCATTCGCAATACCAGATTGCTCCAGTGCCGTTTCTTGCATTGCCAACCCCGAAGAAGTTATTGCTCATGTATATATGCAGCTCGAGAAGCAGGGAGGTCACACACAAAGGAGACGGAGGAATGTAAGTATCAGCAACAGATTACAAGAAAACTGTGCGAATTGATACAAACATACATCACTTGGTAAAGTCCGCGAATGAAGTGGTGCCTCGTTTGCAAGCAACAGTGGTCATTTATCCGCGTAGTGGGCTAAGCAATTTTTTTATTTTCTGACCTGACATTCGGTCAGCTATAGCCAAGGACCAGGTATCACCTAGGGTACAACTATAACCGCACCGAGCCAAATCGTTAATTTTCGTAAACGAAACATTGATGTGTATCATATACGGTTTGTAGATATAAGAAGATATTGTTTGGTCACTCTGAAGAGTGCTTGGGTAGAATGTTATGATAGTTATAATCAGCTGTTAGACATACTCAGAAACAATATATTTTGCCATCAGTTTTTTCAATGTTGGAGCAAGGTTTGCAGAAAGAAATTTTAAAAAGATTGATTTAACAATGGCCAAATGTGGATATTTTTGCAAATTCCAAATTCACTTAATCCACACTAAGTATACCCCAGTAATAGGATCAATGTGTATCTGGTATTTCCTAAAAGGCACAATTTCACAAAAAATTATCGACAATATTGTGGCCTATATTGTATATATTGCATATGCTCTCACTTTAGCTTCCTATTGGTGCAATAAAAGACTTATTATCCCTTACGTCTTGGCTGAAATCAATAATTGAATCTTTGAGGCGATCAGCTTCCAATCAGAGAACACTTGCTACATGTGGAATGTAAACAATTGCTCCGTACATCGAAAACTGTTGCACGCAGTGTTGTCAGTGTTTGCCGAATGGTTTCAATCACAAGTTGCTTGTATGTTTTCTTCTAGGACTGAGTTAATCTGTGTTCAAAGGAGTTACAGGATATTCGTAAAGAGCACTCCACATAACTCCCTGGAAATAATGTTCAGCCGGTAGAGGGCGTGAGAGTCGATTAATGCAATGTTGCATTATTTCATTCAAACTTTTTAATTTAATATTGTTATCTAAATACGTAGTTTTGGGAGGACTAAATTATATGGTAGCTTCCCTCAGGGCTGATAGTATTAATTGAGAGAAATGCAATATTTATTTTTGGAGAAGTGTGGTGTGAAATAGAGCCTTTATCCTCACTGGGGAGTGTACAACCCAAGCTGCTTGTCAGACACAGGAAGGTGAACACTCTCATAACCGGTTATCCCTGCAGTATACTCAGTCATTGTCAGTCGTAAAGAGCATATTTTGTATAAACAACAGTGTTTCTGCTCCTCAGTTATTTTTTACTTTGACTGGTAAACTATGAATGGCATTTCACTGGTTGAAGGCCCCTGTGGAAGAAATTTCTGTTGAAACTTCTTACAATGTACTCAGAACAAGTGTAAATATTACCTCACTCTCTCAAAAAGAAAAGACCGCCTTCGTGGTGTAGTGGTTAGAGCGGAAGGTCGCGGGTTCGATCCCCGACCGCGTCATACCAAAAGACGTTAAATATGGTACTTGTTGGTCCCTGCCTGGCGCTCGGCATTAATGGATACAACGACTGGTTGGCTCGGAGTCCGTATAATATGACAGCTTGGAATTATCTAAGTAGTTAAGCTGTTCAGTAGGTACAGACAGGCTTTATGATCAGCCCTACACTGTTTACTTTGATTTCGAATGACCTAGTTGAGCTGATACAATCAGTAAACTTTTCTCAGGGATAATTTTGTGCAAACATCTTGAGGATATTTCTATCATGATAAACAAAAATGACTTCCTTTGTTTTCAGTGAACATTCACAAGCTAATGATGGAAATACAAAGCCAACCACAGAGTCCTGGCTCTGTTGCTGAAACAAATGTGACCATGGACTGTGAGTCAGCCTTGCTAGAAACACATGATTTACACGAACAAGATGTTTCTGACAAGACACAAGCAGATAAGAACCTTGTCTCTATTGACACAGACAGAAACCCAGACTATGAGAGAACATTGCTAGAAACACATGATTTCCAGGAACAAGATGACCTCAAGGACCAAGTCTCTTTTGACTCTGACCGAAACCCAGACTATGAGAGAACATTGCTAGAAACACATGATTTCCAGGAACAGGATGACCTCAAGGACCAAGTCTCTATTGACTCTGACCGAAACCCAGACTATGAGAGAACATTGCTAGAAGCACATGATTTCCAGGAACAAGATGACCTCAAGGACCAAGTCTCTATTGACTCTGACCGAAACCCAGACTATGAGAGAACAATTGTAGAACCAGGAGTGGTCAAGAAACGCAGAAATCGTAGGAGGACAGTTAAGCTGCCTCACGTTTGTGATGAGTGTGGGAGAACATTTGTTCAATCTGGTGACATGAAAAGGCATATGCTTCGTCACAGTGGCATCAAGCCTTATCAGTGTGGAGAGTGTGGAAAATCCTTTACACAGTCAGGTAGCTTGCACACTCATTTGAGGATTCACAGTGGGATCAAACCTTACAGGTGTGTTGAATGTGGGAAAGAATTTACACAATCTTGTAACCTTCAGTCGCACATGAGAAGTCACAATGGAATCAGACCGTACCAGTGTACCGAATGTGGGAAAGAATTCACACAATCTTGCAACCTTCAGTCACACATGAGGAGTCACAGTGGAATCAAACCTTACCGATGTACCGAATGTGGAAAAGAATTCACACAATCAAGTAACCTACAGTCACACATGAGAAGTCACACCGGAATCAAACCTTATAAGTGCAATGAGTGTGACAAAGCCTTTACCCGCTCAGGCCACCTGCAGGCCCATCTGAGGATTCACAGCGGAATCAGGCCATTTATGTGTCGAGAATGTGGGAGAACATTTACTCAATTAGGTGACATGAAAAGGCACATGCTTTGCCACAGTGGACTGAAGCCTTTTCAGTGTGGAGAGTGTGGGAAAGCATTTACACGCTCAGTTTATCTGCAGACACACATGGTAAGCCACACTGGGTTAGCCTCGCTGGGTTAGCCACTCTGGGTTGGCCATGCTGGGTTAGCCACTCTGGTTTGGCCACGCTGGGTTGGCCACGCTGGGTTGGCCACTCTGGGTTGGCCACGCTGGGTTGGCCACGCTGGGTTAGCCACACTGGATTGACATCGGATTAGTGAAATGAGTGTGAGAAAACTTTCTCCTGTATATGTTATAACTGAAAATTGATAACTCAATAAACGTAATGTCAGTTAATCCTTTGAGCACAGGATGTTATGTTATGTTTATGTGATGGGGTATTTACACCTAGAGTTGTGTGTTCACATATGTGTATCACCACTCCATGTAACTGCATGTACAACCTATGACGATCCGGGTTAGAATTGGTCTTCAGTAACCCATGCTTGTCGTAAGAGGCGACCAATGGGATCTGGTGGGTAGACACATTGACTTGGTAGACACACATCATCATATCCCATTTGTGTAGATTGATGCTCATGCAGTCGATCACTGGATTGTCTGGTCCAGACTCATTTATTTACAGATTATTGCCGAGTCCAGCATTAAACCACAAACACACAAACTGCACTGACAGGGAATCCTACCTACAACCCTTGAAGATCAAGATTAGAATTGCTGTTCAGCAACCCATGCTTGTCATAAGAGGCGACTAATGGGATCAGGTGGTCAGGCTCGCTGGCTTGGTTGGCGTTAAACCACAAACTGCACATACCTAGGGAATCAACATAAGATTAGGGATCGGTTTCACTATAACCAGGCTGCACCACTGCAGGTTTTAGTATTGGTATATATTTCTTTATTTCTCATATTGATCAGGTAAATTTTGCAAAGAAATATACTCTTGTAAAAAAGTAGGGGAACTTAATTTATAATTTCTGATTAAAAACATTGGAATATATATCGGAGTCAATCAATGTTTAGATGGTAATAATGAATGTTTTGAGAGTGCATCACCACTTGCACTTCCTTATGACCATAGTTGTTTGTAGAGTAGTCTCTCTTGAAAGATGATTGGTGTAAGACATGAAATTAGAATGTGTACGATTTTCATTTTCAAACAAAAAAAGAATGACAAAAAATCAAACACTAACAACTGTGATGCAAGATGATTGTTAAAAATGGTCTACAGTGATTTATAGACCTTCTTGAAAACAGTCAAAATCAAGAATGACACCCCCATGCACGTCTTTGTTAACGCTTATGCTTCTTATCCAAATTGAAAGTTCAGGTTCCCCTACTTTTTATGAAGAGTATATAAAAATTAAGATATTAGTTAAATAGCAACCATGATCAGTCAAAAAAAATCTTTCAGACATTGAGCAAAGTGAACTTTTCTGGAGAAATTGACCTTGAATATCACTCTGACATAGCTGACAATAGGGTTCTTGATAACATGGTGCAACCAATATTTTGATGGCACAGTCTGATTCATTCACTTGGTTTCACCTGGTGCAGTGTTAAAAAAAATGAAATTACCATGAATACTCCATGCATAAGTGAGTGAGTGAGTATGGTTTCACACAGCTTTTAGCAATATCACGGCAGGGGACACCAGAAATGGGCTTCACACATTGTTCCTGTGTGGAAAATCGAACCCGGGTCTACGGCGTGACGAGCCAACGCTTTATCCACTAGGCTAAACCCCACCCCCACCCCCCAGTTATTATTAACTTTATAATGTGTCACCTCATAGAGATGTAGTGTCCTGAATACATTGTTTAACAAGCTGTTACTTTCCCATGAAAAAAGGTTAAACAGGATCTCGTATTTGTAAAAGTACATCCAACTGCAATGGCTACTGCACGCTTCAGTGTATGTTATGTAAAATTCAGTGTATGTTGGGTATATTATACTGAGGGTAAAAAATAGGGATCACATGAAAACACAAATGTTCCTTTATTTTTTTCCAAGGTTACTTCAAAAGCCTTGTATTGCACAGCTTGTGAAGAAGCTTGGAAAGAAAGAAATGAACACTTCTGCTTTCATGTGATCCCTTAATTTTTTCCCTCAGTATATTTATTTCAATACAAGTATATTTTCTCTGATCAGATGGGGCAAATTTTACAAATAATCTGGGTCTGTTTCAGCCATAACCCTACACCGTACACCAATTGCACATCCTTGTCAGAAGAAAATGTTCACTGAAGTCTGATAACTTCAGTTTGTGGTCTATTTTCTGGATGATATTTTCTACCCACATTTTAAAAGGGAAATTGAGATAAGTTGCCATATTCACACTTGCATGGGTGAAATCTGAAGTGGGGTGTCTTGGGAACTTAGTGGTGGGTAACGTTGATACCCTTGGGTTTGAAACTTTGTATACACTACCATTGAGAAATGTAGTTCTCACTAATCCACAAAGATTTAACAGCTTATAGGTGTGATCTTGGAGTGTGTGAGTGAGTATTGTTTTATGTGGCTTCAAGCAATATTTCCGATATATCACAACAGAACAAAGGCCACTGGAAACAATCCTCACTATCATCTCTGTGGGGAATCGAACCTAGGTTTTCTTTATCCACTGGGCTACCCCAAGGTGCAAATAATCTCAGATGACATTTTCAGGTATATAGTTATTCCATGAAGAATGAGGTGAGGTGAAATGGGGTACTCATATGACCATGTGCATGTGTGTGTATGTGTGGCTGCTTGTACTATCCCAGACTAAGCTAATTTTATAGTGCTAGCTCACTGAGATATGCATGGATAGTGAGTGAGTGAGTTTAGTTTTACACCGCACTCAGCAATATTCCAGCTATATGGTGGCAGTCTAAATAATCGAGTCTGGACCAGACAAGCCAGTGATCAACAACATGAGCTTCGATCTGCCCAATTGGGAACCGATGACATATGTCAAACAAGTCAGCCAGCCTGACCACCCGATCCCGTTAGTCGCAGCTTACGACAAGCATGGGTTACTGAAGATCAATATTCTAACCCTAACCATCACAGGTATAAGCATGAGTACCTCACTCAGACACATTATACCGACTCCACCCTACTCAGACACATTATACTGACTCCGAGCCGACCAGTCCTTGTACCCATTAATGCCGATCGCCAGACCGTGATCAACAAGTACCATATGTTAACGTCTTTCTGTACGACGTGGGCGGGGATTGACCCCGCGACCTTGCGCTCTCCGGGAGGATGCTCAAACCACTACACCACGAAGGCGGTCCCAATGAAGAAAGAGTGAAAACAAGCTCACTGTAGTTGATGTATAACAGCTACAGGTTTCATGTAGTTGACTAAAACATAACGGCTGTTTCTGAACTAAACTAAACGTTTGGAATTTCATGACTAATTCTTCCTGAATAAAAATATTGTTTCAATCTTAATGACTTTTCAGAATGTTGAATATAAATATATCATACTTGAGATCACATTGATTTTTGATAACAATGCAGGCACAGAATCCAGGTTGACGTGAAAAGATGCCTGTGGTGGATCATCAAACTTACAGGGTGGATGGTAAGGTTACTGACATGAGTGAGTGAGTGAGCATGGTTTTACGCTGCTTTTAGCAATCCTCCAGCAACATCACGGCGGGGGACACCAGAAATGGGTTTCTTACGGACATGATCTGCCCCCCCGGTAGTGAACTGTCAGCCTACTTCCGTTAAATCTAAAATTGAAGATCCACGAATTGCCCCAAGACTTGAAAATCAATTGTTCCATCCCAGCCTCGTCATACCAAAGCAATCGAAAGACAAAAGAAACATTTTGGTCTCAAGGATATTAAATTGAGACTGGTCTGGTCTGGTTGGAGGCAGTACTGTGTGTATGTGGATTTTTTATGTCTGTGTGTAAGTGGCTTTTAGCAATATTCCAGCAATACCTCGGCGGGGGACACCAGAAATGGACCTCACACATTGTACCCATGTGAAGAATCGAACCCGGGTCTTAGGCGTGATGAGCGAACGCTTTAACCACAAGGCTACCCCACCACCCCCTTGTGCAAATGGAATTTCTATGTTAACTGCGACATGATAGCTCGGCGAACAAGGTGCATGTTGAAATAAAACCGCCTCATATGAACGCGATGTTGAATCCCATTTTATTTCACGTCACACCACTCATCTGGACAATCTTTTTAGTGACCAATAATCATCTAACACGCACACCTGTCTTGGTCATTGTGACGTACCATAAAAGACTTTGTCCAAACAAGTCTACAGGGTCCCAAAGCAGGCAACATCAGTATCAAGAAAGCTGGCATGCATGTGGGGAATCGAACTTGGGGAGGTACAATGTGTAAAGCCTATTTCTGGTGTCCCCCGCCGTGATATTGCAGGAATATTGCTAAAAGCGGCGTAAAACTCAACTCACTCACTCACTCTAAAGGACCAATACAAGGCATGCAAAGAGCGATGCCAGTTTTCTTGATACTGATGTTGCCTGCTTAGGGACCCTGTAGGCTTGTTTGAACAATATTTTTTTAGAAAGAAGCGCTGTATATGTGAATGATCTGGAATTTCCGAACTATTTCTTTCACATGGAAGCATTTGGTGTTCACACAAATAGAGCTTGTTCCATGAAGATTCCAATTCGGCGAAAATGGGTCCAAAAATTCATTATGATTTACGGTATGTAGAAAATATGTAAATATACTGAGAGAAACAAATAATGGATCACTGGAAAATTCAAGCGTTCCTTTATAATTTTTCAGTTTTCATCGCCACAGCGCTATTCAGAGCTGGTGATGAAAACAGGAACGCTTGAATTTTCCTGTGATCCTTTATTTTTTTCTCTCAGTATATTATCCGTATTTGTTTCATAGTACATTGTGTTATTTTTATTCTACACGATTCTATATGATATTATGTTTACAAAATTTCAATTTAATTCATGAAGTATCATTAGAAAACGGCATCGCCAGTGAAGATTACTTGCCCAAACTGATTCCATTGAGCATGAAAATAGCAGTATCAATATAAATGAAAATGAGTGATGACACCTGTTGCCAACATAACCACGCTCACCATATTATTTGCATTAAAAAGTATGAAG